GTCCCATAGACTCATGTGAAAGGATATGGGTTATCAAATGGGGGAAAGAAGAAGAAGAAAGAAATGGATAGATACAATCTTTTGGGCATACAGTATCTCAAAGAAACCGAATATGAAAACCTATAGCTGAAGAATTTAACACAGAGATGATGATGATTTCACAAGGTCGCTAGTTTTCTCATCTTTGAAATGTCTAAATCCAGCCTCCTTCATCTTAGCTCTGGGATTTAGTGGTACTACATTACATCCATTCTAACAAGAATTTAAGAAGCAATGAAGTCATGGAATCTGAGTTTTCATAAGGACTGCCCAGGCCCTGGTGCCCTTGTAGTCTTCCAATCTTATACTTCCTGCCAGAGACTTTGTTTACCTCTATGGCTACCATTTTGTGATCGGAGACTTTTAGCCTTTGCACAGGTTCACCTGGCCTCTTGCCAACTCCTGAGTTGCTGGAATTGCTAGACACATCTCAGGACCATGCCCGTGAGCTGCCCAGCAAATTTTAAATTCCCAAGTGCAGCTAGGCCCACAAGATTGCTGCTTGGTTTTGAGTTGCAGACATCTTGTCTCGTGTCAGGCGATACTGCCAGATCCCAGATCTGTGTCCATGGCTCCCCTCGTCATATGACTATGTCATCATCAAGGAGGAAATGGTTGGGGTTAAAGCTTTCCTCTCACCTCAGAAAGGTTCTGGGCTTTTATTCATCGATTACCATCATTACAGGATCCCTGCTGGCCTGTCTGTATGTCTGTCTGTCTGTCTTATGTCACTTCCTTCACCTGTATCTACCGTTACAACATCTTCCACCTGATTTTCCTAAGTGGCCCTTATTTTGTAGTATCCGTCCTTTGACTTGACTGGCAACATAGTACAATCGCTTTTATATTTAAAAATTGTAATAGTAACAGTGAAAACAAACATGAAAGAATGTACCTGGATAATTAAAAACAAAAGGCCTAGAATGTTGAAAACTTCTGACTTTAGAAGAAGGAAAAGGAGGGGGGAACAGGCAGTGGGAGGAATTCAGTTAGGGTGGGAGGGGGAGAGCAAAGACTTCTGGAGTTCTACTAACTTGTTATCAGGGGTTTTTATATGAGAAAAGGTTACTTTTCAAGACAGACTTAATTGTCATCTCAACAACATTCTAGGCCTCGAGGCTAAAGGGGTTTTTGTTAATGAAGAAGATGACATTTTCTTAAATCTTCAAAAAGTCTTAATTGGCTTTCATAAATTTCAGTCATGTTCTTATTATCCCAATAGTTTACAAAACAGAGTGTTCCACTTAATTAAATACACTGGCTAATGAAGATGTGGCCTGACTGACATACACGCATCACAAATTTCTAAACCGTCCCATCATAGATCTCAAGGAACATAATGTACTTGCTGCGAAGTATAGGAGGACTTTGGAGCTGCTCTGGGGCACCAGATAGGTAAGAGAAAAGGAAGATAAGCTGAGAAGCAGCTCACCATCTTTTCATGACTGTTACAGTCCTTAACATCAAAATGAACCTCCTCAGATCTTCCCTCTGCTGAACAAGTAAAAATGCTAAGATGAGAATTAAACACTTGCTTAGGGCCACACAGGCACAGAGAGGGACTTACACTTGTGTTCTCCCAGCCTCTGCTATCCGTTTGTACAATCCCAACAAAACTTCATAGGAATCAGTGGAATTCCCACAAAACCAATTTTAATGA